GAAGGAATACTGTTTTTAAAGAACATATTTAGAGTGAAAATGTATAAGCAATAAACGACTTTTGACTTAATGATTAAATGTGCTGCAAAAATGTATGTATCACGATTAACGTTTGGGGCGGGGCTCTGTCTCCACAGAGTTTAGGAGTCGACACTCTCCCTCCCCCGGACCCCAAGCCTCCCAGAGCTGAATTTAACTTCAGTGTGGGTTTTAAGGATTTAAATGGTAAGAACGATCATTTCTTTCCTTAAGTAATTTGAAATCATAATGATAACCAACACCTGTATGGAACTACAATTTGAAAACAAAATATCAGGAACCTAGACATGATGATAAGTGTAATTTTTATAGTGCTGGATCTCAGATTGCATTTTTGTGTGTGTGGACCAAATTGAGAGGCCAAAGAGACACCTGTGCCCATAATGAAAAGGAATACTATCCTGCATTTGTGTAAAGTCTCGAAACAATCTATTTTTTTTTTTTACCGTGGTTCATTCGGTAGCAGATCTACTTAAGACTTTAGATTTACAGCACAATTTTGATGTTGGCTCCTTTTAAATAACATATCAACAGACTCTCGGGGGAAGGACCGAAAGGGCAGGGGGAAAGATTTTTACCAGGTGACCCTAGGGAGGGTTCCAGCAGAGGTCATGAGGACTTGCCGTTGTGAGTTATTTCCATCGTAGGTGTGTGATTCACTGTGGCACATCCTTAACCCCTTGTACATCAGTGGTGTGTACGGGCTGAAAAACTAAGGTCTTTGGGCTCAATGGTTTTTTCTGACTTGTGGTTGCCATATTTCCTTTCGAGACCTTATTCTTCATCATTATAGCGCTTTTCCAAATTTAATGATTTGGTTCCTATGAGTTCATTGTAACCCTGGCTGGCAGTTTTGAGGTCAGCACATGAATCAATTTTTTCCACTTTGAATGGACTACTTTTCTCTCATGAGAGATTAGAAATATGTTAACTCTCATGTCTTAACTTTTCCTGTTAATAATAATTGATCTGAAAGATTCCTTCATTTTGGCACATGATTGTATTATATAATATTCTAGTAAAAATAAAGTCACATGGGCAGTTCTGGGGATTTGTTTTGTTTTGTTTTGTTTTATTTTGTTTTTTTGGTTTTTTTGCTGTTATTTCCTGTTATTAAAATAATGAATGAATCATCCATTATAAAATTTTGAATACTGGATTTTTTGAGGGGACAGTTTGTAAAACTATAGGTACTTTTTGGCGCAAATACTTTCTTTCTTCCATTTTGTGTGTTTCAGATACTTTGTAAGCAACTGGGAGGGGTTAAAACCACATGTGAATTGCTCCCAGCTTTGACTCCCCTGCCCAAACAGAGGCAGGGCCCACCCGCAGCTCTCTTTCCTTCTGACTGAGAGGAACACTAAGCCTGACAACCCATGTAATATAGGATGAACATCTTCCATGTTTCTTCACTGATGCTATGTTTAGTCCTCCTGGACCTCTTAGACCCGCACATATAGACCCACACCTGCAGTGTCTGCCTTACCTGTCACTTCCATACCTGAATGCTCTCCTGCCTAATTTGTGTGGTCTGACCCTGAGCATTTACCGAATGGCTTCCTTGGATTCAAACGCATGCCTCCCTGTCCCGTGTATATGCACACCTGATTCACTCAGGTGTGTCTGCTCCTTAGGAACGTGCTGTCCCATTTTATCAGAGATCTCTCTCATTTTAACTGAAGTCCCCTTCCTGGCCAATCTAGTTTTGTAGCCACCCATACTCCTACAAGTTACCTCAACCACTAGAAGCCAGATAGGGTGTTCTGGAAAATAAACAATCATCACAGAGATGATAGTAGTATGGTTATAGTAAAAAAAAAAAAAAAAATCTTTTAGAGCTATATACTGAAATGTTTATGGAAAAATATATTTGCTCTAAAATAATTTTTGGGGGAAGATACAGATATGATATTTAAATTTAAAAGATCAGTCTTGAGTTGATAATTGTTCAAGCTGGATGTTGAGTACATGAAAATTGTGATAGTATTCTACTTTTGTATGTGTTTAAAAGTTTCCATATAAAATGATTCAAACACACTCAAAAGTATTGTTTGGCTTAAATAATACATGCTGATCCTCTACTCTCACCTGACTTCTTCGCTTGAACTATAATTAGCATTAATCTTCTAATGTTTTAGAACATTTGGGAGCCTTAGACATTAACTGCAGCTAACTCTTCATCTTACAGATGAACTAGTTGATTCCCTTTGACAAATAACACACTACTAAATAGCCGCTGCAGGAGAACTAGTAATGATGTCTCCTAATTTCCTAATCCAGCCTTGCCAAAAATGTCAGGAAGAATGCAGCTAGTTCTATATCTCGCAGGGTCTTTCCACCCCAATTTATGGAAAGGCTTTTCCTCTCTTGGACAATCGCTTCGTTTGCCTGAGTCAAAGAAATGGTGTAATGTAAAATACAGTGTTTTTTTCCATCTCTTATCACTTGATTGTGTGGCCATTTTAGTTCTAAGTGTTTATCGCCCGAATGCTACATTCCAAACGAATGTACCAAAAGCTGCTATTTCAGAGAAATCTTTGTAAAGCAGGGCGTCATTCGGTAAAGATGCTTGCTCACTCCTGACATATCATTTCTAAGGTTTCAAGTGGAGGTGAAGTTCTACATTGCTCTGACACAATCGCCTGTGGCACGAGGCTTTCTCCTTTCTAATAAGGGTGTCCTGTGGTGAGGTGAGTTCCTGAGCAATGTCCACTTTGCCCAGTTGCCTCAAAGAGACTAATTTAGTCCGATTGTCACTCTGAGGCAGTCTCCAGGGTTTGGTTCGATCTAGAACCGAGCATATTGGAGAGAGGCCAAGCATGGAATTTCAGGCTGAAATGAACCTTCCTCTCCGCAGTCTTCTCTTTTCGACTTACCTATGGATGGGGGTCTTGGAGAATAAAAGAGATGGGACAGTTATTCAGGGGTCAGGCTTTTATTAAGCTGTTTATATCTGGGTTTCTTTCTTTTTCAGATGGGGGAGTCAAATGATGACATAGACCAAATGTTCAGCAATTTGCTGGGAGAGATGGATCTTTTGACCCAGGTAAATTCCTCTTTTCAAGTTTCAAATTAGGAAAAAAACTGGGGTTACAGAATTTGATTTTAATATAATGAGAAGAGCTCTCTTTAAAAAAAAAACTTAGAGATGGGCAATATTGTATATTCCTGAAGTGTGACAGTGGTGGAGGAAAAAAAAAAAAACTTTCTTTCTGATTATACTCTTTTGAGTTCAGTTAATAGAATAAATTGGTCACACAGGCATCCTGTTATGCCAATTCTCATGCTCATCATTGTCAAATTTTAGCCAATAGAGAAATTTTCCCTAAGTAATTCCCTCTCACAACCATCACCACTGAACAATTTCCCCTGCAGTCACCTTTACATAAAGATGAGCTAAAAAAAGTTACGTAATCTTTAGTAAAGATTCTCCACCAATTTTTGAGGAAATGCTACATTTTAAAGGACTAAATGGGAGTTTCTGTGGCCTCTTGATGACACTGTAAGACCATAGA